ATATACGTCTGATTTTTTTTTATTGGATTTAGAGTACGTAAACATGATGACAAATAAAGAATGAGCCAATTAAAAAAATGATACTTATGCGGTATCAAAATATTGTAAAAAATTTGTGTGTGAAAAATAACTTTTTCCAATTTTTAGATACTGTCACCTTTTGTTGAAGTGATACAATTACAGCAAAGCGTTTATTTTGCAGAATGTTATGAGTAGGGAAAATCAAGATGGGGGATACTGAAACATGTTAAAGGAAGGATTAACAATGCTGAAAGCTCCATCTATGAGCAAATTATGGCCACTGACGTAGCTGGAATCATCACTGGCAAAATAGAGTGCTGCATTGGCAACATCATCAGTTTTGAGGGTGACACCCTTGAGATTAGCGAGTGAGTTCATGATAGTCTCAAGCTGTTCATCATTAGCTCCGACGAAGCTGGTGGCCAACGGAGTGGCAAGAGCGTAAGGTGACAAACAATTCACCCTGATTCCGAACTGTCCGAGCTCAACCGCTGCATTTTTAGTTAGACCAACCACCGCGTGCTTGGCACAACAATATGCATGGGAAGCTGCACCACCGACGTAAGAGCTTATGCTCGCCGTTGAGATAATGCTGCCACTGCGTGCTGGGATCATCGCCTGTGCCGCATGCTTCATCCCGAGGAAAACACCTGTCACCTTAAACCACATATCAGATACAACAATGCAACAATATAAAATCTTCTTATTAAACAATAACTTATTCTATTAATTACTGTAAATCTCTTAATCGTTGATATTATAATTTCATTATGACTTATAAATATACGATATTCCATTAATGAAACAAGTATTATACCTGTAACATTGACGCTGAGAACACGTTCAAAATCTGCCTTATCGTTATCAATGATTCGATGCTTGTTGGGATCAACTATGCCGGCGTTGTTGAACATGATGTCTAGCTTGCCATAAGTTTCGACGGCTGTGTGGACAGCGTTTTTGACCTGATTCTCATCGGTCACATCGCAGTGAACATAAGAACAAATTGATGCCCCTATGGACTCAGCCACTGAATGCCCCAATTCGTCTTGGATGTCAGCGATCACTACTTTGGCTCCGTGCTGGGCGAACACTTCTGCGGTGCGTTTCCCAATTCCACTAGCTCCTCCTGTTATCAATGCAACTTTTCCTTCCAACCTGCAAAACAATCAATGTTATAAGAAACCCTAATTCAATCTAATATTTCAACTATGCATCACATTTATATAATCTAAATTATGAACTTCCAACACAACACATACCTTCTGTTGGTAACAGAGCTTGAGCTTGCCATTGATAAATCAGACCTAAGAAACAAAATCAAAGGATACCAAATTATATAGAAACAAGGTTCATATAGAGAAAATAGCAGCGATAGGAGGTAGGACAAAGTTGCTGATATTTTATTATCCGATTTATTGGAGGTTACGCTATGGGGCTTCTGCTTACAAAGTTGTTTATATTCAATTGGGGTATATCAATGATTTGAACCAATTTCAAGTTGTAGCAACTACATAAATTTTTTATATACCTTGGGTTGTTTAAACACTTATTCATATTCCCTGCTTGATATACGACAAGGTCAGTTCCTGCCTTGGACAGGGAATAATCAAGTTGGAATCTTACTACAATATTACTTCTTTTTTCGATTTTTTAAGACCAAAACTCAACATTATTTAACCTTTTTTTTGTCAGCAATATATTTATGGAAATGAATATTTCTATTTTTTAAATTAAAAATATTTGTTGAAAATTATTACTTATATATATTAATTAGTGTGAATACAGAAGTTGTCGCATTTTTATATACATATTTAAAAAAATAAATTATTTAATTTTTAAAAATAGTAATTAAAAGTGTGAACTTAAAAAAATAAAAAATGTATATAATTAAAGATAAAATATTATAAGTAATATTGTGTAAATAATTTTTTTATTATGAATAATTTTTTAAATTTAAAAAGTAGTTACTAAATTGATAAAATAGTAAATAGTTCTTATTATGAATTTAAAGAAACAACTATTTTATATAAATAGTTGATGAGCCATCAATCCTTGCTAGAATTTTTTGGTCAGTCAATACACATTCCGTTTTTTATTAAATACTTTTGATACCTTTCTTCATGCTATATAGCCAGCTTCAAGAAAAATTGACTTACATTTTTTGGTGAAGATACGACCTGCTCTTGGAAAAACTTGTAATAATAGTATTTTTAAGTTAAGATACAGTATGCTCCCAACTGAGATAGTATATTTTTAAGTCATGATACAACCTACACTCTCAACAGAAATAGTAATGGTAGTATTTTTAAGTTAGGATACAGTCTGCTCCCGGTAGAACTGGTATTGATATTTTAAGCCAGAATATAACTTACTCCCAACAGAACAGATAATGGTAGTATTTTAAAGTTAGAATACAGCCTGCTCCCAGCAAAATTGATAATGATAGTATTTTTAACTCAAGATATACTCTACTTCCAGCCGAGTTATCTCCACCCTTGTTTTCATAACTTCGCTGGTTATCCTTGCTATGTCATGTATTTCTTCCATAGCGTCAAGGTTAACCCTAATTCTTGTTTTTTACTTTTCAATGGAAAATTTCTTGACTCTCCAGGTTGGTTTGGACACTTGGTAACATGTCATCAGTTCCATATACGACCATATTATACGAAAAACTTCTTTCGGCCACTCTCCCTTTGCAGCTATCAACCTTCATTTCAGACCTCCAAGAATGACCCTATTAGCGGCCTCTACCTGCCGATCTGTATGTGGATATTCCATCGAGGAGAAATTTTGTTTGGTTCCTAGATCCCAACATCGTCAAACCAGAAAACTTGTAAGTTGAATCAAATTATCATATTATATCAATTACTAATGGACGGTTATGATCATTCAATGATATATAAAAGTCCAAATTGGAATATTTATCAAATGGTCATATTGATCTCTTGGAATTCTTCCATATCATGATGGTCCAGTGTGCACATGGATAATAAAGAAGTGAGTTTGTTGTACCTTATGTAAAATCCAAGTTAAATTTTATCATTCAAAATAATAGTTATTAATGTAAAAAATTCTTAAGTTATGTTTGATAATTAAAATATAAACTAAATAATACATTTTCATACTTTTTTAGGATAGCTGAGTCTAAAAAAACCATTATATAATCTTCTATCTTATTGCCATGTCATAGCAAAATTAAAGAAAAAGAAAATCATGTTTGATAAGTATTTTGGGGGGTGGAGGGGGGGGGGTGTAAAAAGAGAGCTCGGAGAGTTCAACTAAATGGACACATGGTTGTTGGTCCAATAAACTAGGGAAGGAGGAAAAATTCAAGTTCCAAAATACAGAGCATGTTGAATGATTTAGACAGTGGTATATAGAATTCTATTAGAAGAGAGAATATGCATGGCTGAATTCCAATCTTCTCATTATAATATTTTTCTATTCTATCTACCTTCTTTTTTGCGTCTTACGTTGATATTGCTACATATTTCTCCTTCTTCATTCTCTGAATGTCTTCCACTATACTCATGGCCACTTCTCGGGTATAAGGAGCCTAATAAAAATTGCTATAATTTTTCCCTGCTAGGGTAGCATTTTTCAAATTTTCTAAGTTGTGAAAAGAGACAACCTAAAACCAACCATGATCATGTCCCAGCCAATTTGATCTTCCTCCCTCAAAAAACACATTATGGGGGAAATAGTGGTAGCATCTTGAGATTCAGATGGGAGAAAATACAAAATGTTCTTAATCACCTTCAGCATATATTACAGGAGAAAACAAAAACTCGCCGGTTATACTTATGTAACACATGTTCTGAACTCTACAGACACGACCGTACCTACACATAGGGTGAAACGAAAATTTAAGCAGCGAGTGCTGCAACTTCAGCAGACATGGGCTATCAACAAGATAAAACTCAAAAGGGGAAAAGTTCTTTCAGCTACTTGGCTAGCGGATCTATGATATTCGCCTTGAACAGTCACCACCATAGCAGAAGCAAACGGGTATGCGCTTCACAATCAAGGCCATTGTGTCAAAAGATATGGGTATTAACTCACCTTTTGGACTTTCTTACACTCTGGCCCTCACCCCTGACTTCTCCTAACCTTGATTTTGGACCATT